CGGCGGAGGGCTGACCTGTGGCCTCCTTAGGTGCTCGGGGCTCCCACAGCGCAGAGAGCGTGAAGTCTAACGTCTAAAGACACCTTGCATAGTGTTTCTGAAGGAAGAACTCAGGCTTCCGGAAGTGATGGCCGGGGATGGTTGGGGGCAGTGAGAGCGGGTTAAGTGCCGAGTGTGGGTCAAAGGCGGCAGTGCCAGCCAGCTTGTAGTGACCCCAATGCTTTCCTAACGTTTCTCAGCTTCCAAAGGCCAACATGGAGCCCTGGTGGCGCAGTGGTTAAGAGCTTGGCTGCTAACCAAAAGGTCAGGAGTTCGAATCCACCAGTCGCTCCTTGGAAACCCTGTAGGAGGAGCAGTTCTACTCTGTCCTGTAGGGTCGCTATGGGTCGAAATCGACTCGACGGCAACGAGTTTGGTTTTTTGGTTTTTTAAAGGCCATCGTATAAAGCTGATAAAGGCGGAGTAGATCTGGTCAGTTCCTGGGACGCGGAGTCCGGAGCAATGCTGCTGAAGACAGGTACGAACACGGATGGGGTGACTGGGAGGGTAGGTGACCAGTTGGGGCTGGGGGCTACCTAGAGGAACTTGTAGTCTTTCAGTGTCTAGGCCTCTATGTGGGGAGACTTGTTCCCCTCTTGTATAATTGGAGTGGGGCTGGGAAGGGTGCTCCCCACCCAGGAATCAGTTCCTCTCCAAAGAGACTTGTTTCCCTCTTGTATAATTGGAGTGGGGCTGGGAAGGGTGCTCCCTACCCAGGAATCAGTTCCTCTCCGAAGAGACCTCTTCCCTTCTCACCTTCCCTCCAGCGACCTCTTCCCTTCTCACCACCCCCTCCAAAGTGCTGAGGCCCTATCTTGTGTGATACTGATCCTGCCGAGAACAACCCTGTAAAGTCAGTAAAATACTATTTTGTAGATAAGGAAATTGAGGCCCCAGGGGAAAGGGCCGGCCCAGGTGAGCTGGCTGGGTGTAGGTCCAACCTAGCTGACTTCTTCGGCCCTTTTGAGGCCTCTTGGAGGGCTGTGTTGGAAAGGAAGAGCCCTGGACTGGGGCTGAGGCTCTGGCGTCTGGCCACAAAGTACTGACAAGTCCTGTGTGTATGGGGGTGGGAGCTGGTCACGGGGAGACGTGACTTCAGGTGTTAGTCTTTGCTAACCAGCACTGCGGTGGTAACAGCCAGTGGGGAGCCAGGGCACAGACACATTGCCTTGCCCCAGCCGCCTCCGCCTCCGCCTTCCTGCCCTGCAGGAGCCAGCAGCCCAGGAAGGGCCAGTTCTGCCTCAAGCCCAAGAATCTAGTTCCCCTAATAGGCAGGCAGGCAGCTTCTGCAGGGTGGGGTGAGAGCCAGGGCTGTGTGGGAGAGCCCCTCACAGTCACACTCCCCTGCCCACCACATGCGGCTGGCAGTGCCCTTGCTGGCCCTAGTGAGCCAGGTGCTGGTGCTGGAGAACGGGCTTCTGCGGACGCCACCCATGGGCTGGCTGGCCTGGGAACGCTTCCGCTGCAACATCAACTGTAAAGAGGACCCGAAGAACTGCATCAGGTGAGGCCATACCCAGCCTGAGCCCTGCAGAGCCGGGGCGGGGAGTGGAGGGTCAGCTAGAAAAGAAGACTGAGGCCAGAGCTGCCCACCCCAGAGAGACTGCAGTCAAGGTGACTTCTGGGAGGTCTGACACCCAGCCCCATGACCTGCCTCCGGCCTCTGTGGGGACAGTCAGGCCTGTGGGGCAGAGTTCCTGGGTGGATCTAGTCCCTGTGATAATCACTAGGAGATAACTGTTAAGGCCAGTCTGGCTATGGAGCCTGGGGCCAGACCACCCCTTTTACCCTACTGTTTGTAGCTCATTACACAGTCATTCACCGAAGTCCCTGGCTCAGCCCTCAGCTGACTGCAAGGACTCTTCTGCAGAGCAGCCAGAGTCTACCTCTGAAAAGCTCTGAGGAGGGGCCGGGGAAGGCCAGGCTGGGCACTGAGCTGCCCCATCTCCTCTGCCCCTCGACAGCGAGCGGCTCTTCATGGAGATGGCTGACCGGCTGGCACAGGATGGGTGGCGGGACCTGGGCTACACGTACCTCAACATTGATGACTGCTGGATTGGCGGACGAGACGACAGCGGCAACCTGGTGCCCGATCCCAAGCGCTTCCCCAGTGGCATGGCCTACCTGGCCGACTATGTGAGCCCTAGGCCTGGGGGCCAGACCACTCCTCTCACCCACCCTGCTTAGGGCTCATTTACACAACCCCTGCCTGAGGACCCACAGGCTGTGGTGGGGGAAAGGACAGATGAATGCCTAGTTTGGATCCATTGTGGTGGGTGAGAGCCAGGAAGAGCATCTTATCCAGCCTGGGATTCCAGGGGGGGCTTCCCGGACGAGGCAGTTCTTGAGCTGATCCCAGACAGGTGGCATTTAAGGAAGAGGAGGTGGCAGAAGCAAAGGCCTAGAGGCAAGAAACCGCCTCTGGGAGGGGTATGTGTTTGGGTGGGGGAGGGGAGGCCAGGCCAGCAAGCTGGGACCCTCTCCTTTGGGCAGTGGGTTGGGGGGGAGCCATTGGAGGTTTAATGGGCCTGACCAGATGTGTTGTGAGGGAGCTCCCTGAGGGTCCTGCCTGAGCCCACCGTGTCTTCAACTCCCCACAGGTTCACTCCCTGGGCCTGAAACTGGGCATCTATGCAGACATGGGCAACTTCACCTGCATGGGTTATGCGGGCACCACACTGGACAGGGTGGTCCAGGATGCGCAAACCTTTGCCAAGTGGAAGGTGGACATGCTGAAGCTGGACGGCTGTTACTCCACCCGTCTGGAGCGGGCCCACGGTGGGTTCCATAGCTGGCTGGGGGTGATCCAGTACGCAGGGAGGGGTGACCTGGGAGGTCAACTGTGCCCATGTAGCTGAGCTTGGTCGGTCTCTGTGGCCACTCGGGGGCAGCATTTCCCAACTCCACTTACCCTAGGGCTGGGGGGCGGGGGTGCGTTTTGTCTCCCAGGCTCCCTGCAGATGGGGTGGCTCTGTGGCCCACCCAGGAAACATGGGGGCTCTGGGTGTAGGGGGGACCTCCCCTTTGAGCCTCCATTACCTTGCACTTGGTGGGAGGTTTGGACTGAGACCCCCAGGCTGCCTCTTGTGCCTCCCCTGTCCTGAAACATGGGGTTTGGGCTCCCCAGGGTACCCCAAGATGGCTGCTGCTCTGAATGCCACAGGCCGCCCCATTGCCTTCTCCTGCAGCTGGCCAGCTTATGAGGGGGGCCTTCCCCCCAGGGTAAGCCATTCTGTGTGTCCACCTGGCAGTGCTCCCCACACCCAGAAATCCTTTCCTCCTCTGCCCCAAAGAAGGCCCCCTGCCAATCCAGGGTCCTAGAGAAGAGGATGTTTTTGTCAGGTGGGCCAGAGGGGCTGACATCCAAGACAGGAACCGCATGTGCCCACACACAGCCCCCAGCAAGTAGTCAGAAGCGTGGGTATACTGAGTGGGCTAGGAGGGCCAGGAGGCTGTGAGGCCAGGCAGGGCCGAGACCCTGAGGCTGCCTTACCAAGGACCTCTCAGAACTAGAAAGGGGAGGATCAGACTGTAGACCTTGGGGAGGAAGAAGGCTGGCAGATGGCGGGTATGTGGGTGGTGGGTGTACAGTGGGAAGGGTCGGGGGTAACCCTAACTGGCATAAGAGGGCAAGACAGGCTTCTGGCACCAGCACACGGAGGGGAGACCCAGACAGCCCCAGAGCAGGGCACACCCTCTCAGACCCTTCCCCATCCACAGCAAGCTTTCTGGGATCTGTCTCTTCCCCATCCACTGTGGTGGCGGCTAGACTCTGCCGTCCTCGACTTGCAGGTGGACTACACCCTGCTGGCTGATACCTGCAACCTCTGGCGTAACTACAATGATATCCAGGACTCCTGGAGGAGCGTGCTCTCCATCCTGGACTGGTTTGTGGAAAACCAGGACACGCTGCAGCCAGTGGCCGGCCCTGGGCACTGGAATGACCCAGACATGGTACCGGTGGGGCAGGGCATCCCATGGGCGTGCCACCCATCACGGACCTGCCCCCACTGCCGTGTGTTCCCTTCCTTCTTGGATGCCCATTGCCAGGTTCTAGGTCAGCATTTCCAAAATGTGTCCCTGAACCAGCTGCATCCGGGTTGCCTGGGGAGCTGGTTTCCAGGGCCCCACCCCCTCCTTTAGATTAGAATGTTCGTGAGGGACTTGGGAATGCCTATTGGTAACAGTCATCCTTGTTTCCTGGAGCTTGAGAACATGGTCTGTGGTGACTCTTGTAGGAAATGTTATTCCTCTGCCGGGGAAGATCATGAATATTCCGCACTCTCTTGACTCCCAGGCCGGGGCTGCCTCCTGGCCCATCAGCCCAACTAACTCTGGCTCCTCTTTCAATGCCCTGTGCCCTGTTATCTTCCACGAAGCCCACCCAGCCCTGCCCCTGCCACAGGCAGAGTTTTATAGCCATCTCTTCGTCAGCAAGCATTGACTCCTGGTGGTGATTAGAACAGCTGCAAATACAAGGCCAGGTGGAGGGGCTGCCTGGGCAAACAGAACTAGGCCTGCTTTGGAGTTCTAGCTCCAGCTCTGCCGCTTATTTTGGGCAAGTTACTAATTTTTTTCTGTGCCTCAGTTTTGTCAGTTGGAAGCCAGGAATAGTAACATAGGCTACTTTATTCAGGGTTGTTTCGAGGGTTGAATGCGATAACCCTGTAAGATGCTTGACACAGCGTCCAGCACCTATGAAGTGCTCTGTTAAGTTATTATGAATAAGCACTTAATGAGCCCCTGGGTGGCAAAAACAGCTTAGAGCTTGAGTACTAGCTGAAAGGGTGGTGGTTCAAACCCACCCAGAGGCACCTTGAAAGACAGATAGGCCTGGCGATCTGCTTCCTAAAGGTCACAGCCTTGAAAACCCTATGGTTTTCGCACATGGGGTCCAACCACAGGTTGGAGTCAATTCAAGGGCAGCTAACAACAGCAGAGCACATGACAGTGTCGCATGAGCGGTCATTGTTTACGTCCCGCCTGCGGGTCGGTCCCCCCTTGTCTGGTTAGCTGTAGCTACGGCAGGTGGGTGACTAGTGGTGTGAGAAGGGACTCTCTAGGCCTGGAGTGGATTTCTCTACTTGTCCTGCGTCCCAGTGTATAAATGCTTTTGGCCACAGGATCCCATTGGATCATCTGAACATCACGTGACACCCCAGAGCATAACATCACTCCCATTTTGTTGGTTACAAAAAAAAAAAAAAAAGGTTCAGATGCAAAGTGACTCAGCTCTCCCAAGGCCACACTGTGGCCAGTGGTGTTCACTGAGCTGGGTCCCCACCCCAGTAGTGCTCCCCCACCCCCAACCCAGGCTGTCCTCCCTCACCCCCCACGCTCCACCCCAGCTTTCCTTCCCTACCCTGTCTTTTCTTCCTTTGGCCTCTGGTTGGGGCCAGCCCCATGCTGGCCTTCCTGCAGAGGGCAGAGCTGACGGCCCCTCTCTGACCAACAGCTGCTCATTGGAAACTTCGGCCTCAGCTTTGAGGAAGCCCAGTCCCAGATGGCCCTGTGGACGGTGCTGGCAGCCCCCCTGTTCATGTCCACGGACCTGCGGACCATCTCTGCTAAGGACACGGACATTCTGCAAAACCCTCTCATGATCAAAATCCACCAAGATCCCTTAGGCATCCAGGGACGCAGGATTCTCAAGGTACTGGGAAAGGGGAGGGGACGGGAGGGCTGAGGAACTGGGCCTTGGTGGCCTGAAGTTGCATAGGGGGTGGGCCTCTGAGGCCCCTCACTGTGATGTCATACAGAACTGGGTCTTCCCTCCAGGTTGCAAGGAGTTCTTTTGGCCAAGGAATACTACTGCTAGTACTACTACTACTATTAGTATTACTCCTACTACTATTAGCGTCGACTGTTTACTGAGCATCTACTATGTGCTGGGCATCCTAGATATGTTTTCTCAGCAAGGTGGATACTCTTCCGTTTTACTAATGAGGAAACAGACGTAGTGAGTTGCAGTAACTCTTACCCAAGGCCGCACAGCTGGGTGTACAGCAGTGTCGCCTCCAAGCCTGGGCTCCTTGCACAAATCCCTGCCTCTCCTGAAAAGAAATGTCCAGACTGTAGAACTCTAGAAGGCCCCTGTAGAACTGGTGGTGCAGCTGGGCCTGGTGAGCCTTCTGGATGGAATTCATTCTCAAGGCCAGCTCCACTGT